GCCGATATTCACGGCGGGCAGCTGCAGAATCGCCGTTACAAAGTCCATAACAGAACATTATGTCTGCGTATTCTTCATTTGTAAAAGTTTGCCCGTGCTCGCTATGGCGAGGTCCTGGGGGATATTCTGCGTCTGCCATGATGATAAAGAAACCGCTCGGAATGAACTGGGGAAACTCGAAAATAATAATCGTGCGTAAAGCGTGTGCGCGTACGCAGTAGTTGATACCAACTAAACCTAATTCTCACTCGGCGTGCGGCGATGGCGTAACTACAATGATGAATAATAACAGCTCTCTCTCTCTCACTCCTCCACTAATAAATAGAAGCGCTACCAGCCCGGACCTGACGAGCACCTGTTTATCTTTTACAATCTCCATTGAGCTTTGTGTACTTGGATTCGTCGGTGTAATGCAGCGCGGATGGGCATGTAAACGCTCATCGATGCTGAATAAACAGAAACAATCGTCGTTCATCGAACGTGCAGTCAGCGAAAAAGGCATAACCCCCAATAGGTTACAACCCTTAAGGGGGTAGGGAGTTTTGCGTCTCCTGTAACCATGACCAACCGCATACTGCGCTCATTAGCAGCTCGTCGATGCGGTATAGGTCTTAGGTCTAGAAATAGAAAGCAAACAAATGAATATATTTTTTCGAAAAACTCGAAGTAATAATAATAGTAGATTTATCCCATCTAAAGGACAATATATAAACATATTTAAAGAGCGAAAAAAACTAACGTAAAAAATATTATAAAATGAAAACTAACCTTTACCAAGGATGCAACACAGGTATGATGATGCGCCAATAAAAGTATTAGCTGTATTAAGCAAGCAGTTAACATTGATGGAAAATATATCACAGTGCACATACCATGAAATGGCGACTTAAGTAGAATATTTCTCGATGATAACATTGAAAGATGGAGGCGAAAGCCTTTCGCATTTCAGAATATTTGTCCTTGCCCTAGGAGGCCTGATGATCATATGACTGGGAGATTGAAATGTTGGAGTACCTCCTTGCCTTAAAGTTGTCATTTCTAATCTACTGCGTAGTTCATCACTGCTTGTACCTATTGCTGGATATGTCTGGACAATCTTGAGCGACACAAATTAATTGAATTGTACTCATTCAGTATTATCAGTGTTATAGTATTCATAGTAGAAGGTATTCTACTTTCGAGACTTTACGTTATTAAAATTTTTGCAAATGCTTACTATGAAGCAAAAAATTCGAGTTTGACTTTCATGGGTGTAGGTTAAATCTGCAAGTATGATTTTTATACTATTAGGATTTATTATTTCATTATTTCTTTGAACTCTCACCAGAAGGTTGTTTAAGATGTCATCTAGCTCACCATGATATCTAAAATGCAAATTATGCTTTGATTTCCAAGTTTGTATAGATCAGTACCACATCTTCGCATATCAATTAACCATGCTCATCGTCAATACAAAATGAACACAGATTCATGATGCGTTTCACTGGAATAGCATTGGATCGAACATCCGTACCTGGTAACGTCAGCGCGAATATCAGTATGCATCACATTAGTTATTGTATGTGGTATCCACCTTGCGCAGATAATAGGATGCATACAGCTGGCCTTGCATTTAGTCAGGCCTACTAGGTTCAGTAACGGCTTCTACGTATTTTGACTGAGAACAACTCATTGGAGGCGTACAGGAAGATGTATAAAACGAGACTAATAAACGTTTTATCGAAATAAGACAGCACAAAGTTCGATCTATTGCGTATTCACATTGCTTCCAAGACGAAAATCAGCTTCATCGTATGGTCATAAAATCTCAGTTCTTGGTCTAACTTCTAACTGATCTTGGTAAGCCTCAATTTCGTAAATCTAACACATTAGACTAACTTTCCAACACGTCGTACGTGAGATTTCAGTTTTCGATGTCAATATAGCTGCTTCTTCAAGTTCCAAGCACCAGATGAGACTGTAGATTGTGTTGTGATCATTTTTGTTTATTGAAGTACGAAAACTTATGTGAAAGGCGAAAGTGAACTATTTCCTTGGTCCAAAGATGTTGAGGACTGGGAAATAATCTACCACTCCTATACCTACAACTTTGGTATTATCTTCAAAGATGCATCAGAAGAAAAATTAATTATTCTATGAATTAAAAAAAACTCAAATTATCATTCTGCAATACAATTAAACAGATAAGAAGTACCTGAATTATTTGTGAAATAAAACAATTGGTAGTGACAAAATTATCTATTTACTCAGAAAACTGTGTAATCTTCAGATAAACTGACTGCACTGTTTTTTCAGGATTGCTCCCTGGCTGTAAAAATCGACTTGATCTTCACATGACCTTGGAGGTCATACCGGGAAATCTGAAAAGTTCCGTAACCTCATGACCTAATAATAGTCGAAAAACTAAGCCTCAAGCCCCACGATTGATAGAAGTTTCATCCAGGTATCTAACGGTGACCTTGGATTTGACCTTAACCATGAAATTCAAGGTCATTTGGAGGTCAATTCGATTTCTTTAAATAGACACCCTCATTTTTGACCCCGTAAATGAAAAAATCTGAATTATTACGTTCAAATGTAGTTTTGAGCATTTTTATATTTTGACCTCAAGGGGTCAGGGTCAAGGTCAAACCTAAGTACAGCGATATAACTTGATAGCCAGTTGGCGTACAAGGAAACTATCGAGATATTATTTTCATAACTTTGGCCGGATATCTAATGGTGACCTTGGATCTGACCTTCAAGGTCTTTCTAAGGTCAACTATTTTTTCGATCAGAGTCTATAGTTTGTACCGCACCGCGGAAATGAAGATAAGAGAAAATTTTGCATTTGAATATGTCCTTGTCTCAGACACCATGTATGTTGTCGACAATTTAGCATGCCAACCTCTTCGGATTAACTTCTGCTCGTCTCCTTGAGAATTTCACCGCTAAAACCTGACGACGGATTATTCTACAACAGGCGACCGAAGAAGAGTGCATTTTAAGATTAAGGATAACAGTGGCTGTTATTTTGAACAAATTCGTTTAAAATCGTTTTACGATGCCAGGGACCTCTTCCGTAAATGCGTATCCCTAAAAAAGCGCTGTATAGGCATTGAGGGTTGAATTTAATAAACATTCTCGGTCCAATTACCGGCCTACGCGGATTTTTTACGGCACCATCCAAGGACATTAAGCGTGCGAATCTGCCGCACTGTTGTCAGGTCGAAGAAATAAAATTCACCAGAAGCTGGAATGAAAATTCACCAGAATTTTAAAAGTATCACTAGCTGTAAACGAAAAGAGTGCATTTATAATGTTTGAATACAACTTAATAAGTAAATTGTTTAATAAAACAATTCTCTATAAATTGTCTGCTACTGTGGCGAAAGTATTGTTTTTATATCATTTGAACTACTTTTTGAAGCCCAAATCGGAATTATTATAAAAAAGAAATCCCATATTTATATTATTTATATATTTATATTATATATTTTTTACCAAAACAGGTTTCAAACATCGTTTCATATACTTACTTAATTAGTAATCTAAAAAAGTGAATAAAAAGGAATAGTTAAATCTGTCATCAACCATATCAATTACTTACAGTTTATCATGAAAATTTTAAAATAAAATGTACAAACGAACTGTACATATCAGCTTAATAGATAATAGATAACGCGTTCACGACAAAACGAAATTACGGAAACCAAAACAAGGACAAGGAAAATACTGTGGTGAATTTCACAACGGCTTAGGGAATCACCGGAAAGAAGTCGCGAAACGCGGAACCGGTGATTGGACTCTTTGGTTGCTGAAAGATTGTAATAATATTCAAAATCGATGGGTTTTCAAGAAATTGCCATTTTTCAAAAATTTGTTCACCAATCACCACATAATTCATAAAATCACCACATCTGGTGATACATTTTATAAGACCTGGCAACACTTATCTGCTGCCAACAAAGGGATATTAAGAGGTGTATGCTTCAGGTTCGCAAAGGCATGTTTTGGCGCTTGATAAAAGAACATCCGCTTCATGTTCTGCATGAAAAGTAGTTTTTTTCGATAGGTCTGACCTTTTGTAGGTATAAAAAGGTGAAAGGTCAATGTCCACTCCGTATTGGAATTTGGGCGCACAAGCGCTTTTGTTGCTTAGTAATAAAAACGGCAAAGCAGATCAAGCAAACATCAAACATCCGTTAGATTAGAAATAGTATACAGGATATACAAAATATAGATGAGGTTGTACTACGAGTTTGGAAATTGCTGGAGCTGTAATTTTGGTTGAACGAGGGAAAACGTTTAAATTTGCATTTTTCTTCACATAAAGCTCACTTTAGTAGTTCTAGGAAATGTAGCTTCTCCATTTCCTTTTTTACCTATTTTAGATATCATGAATAAATAATAAATAAATCCATCGTTACCTTTTCAACTTTCTGGCATCTATATTTTTACAACAAAGTCTAAAGCCACCTTTGATTTTGATGATGTAACGTCTGTTATGTTTCATATTTTCGAGTAATTCAGAAAAACAAATAAATACGTTTTCAAGTAACTAAAGACAGGACAACATTGATCTTCTCTGTAAACCTCATTTAAAAGATTACTATCCTCTTTTCGTGTAGCCAACGTTGTACCTCTAACCGATTCCAAGCCAACAGTGCTACCTCATCCATACCTAGGACCCCTGCGAATTTCTTGACCCAACTGTTGGATTGTGATGTTTCGGTAACAGTGACTCGTCCTTCCTCTTCAAAATGCCTTCATTGCTAAGCGACACAAAAAGAAGGAGCCCAAAATTGATACATAAAGGTGAATCGTTTCAGTCTTCACCAATTTCATTACTTGTATCGTCCCTAATCTAAATAAGCAAATGCATATGCTACTCTACCTAGCTACTCTTTCAAAGCCTATCTATGTCATCTAGTCTATGAGTAGCTCTCTATACAAAGATAAATCTAAAGTATTTATTGCCTAAGGTTTCTACGCGAAAGCTGTGAAGAAAAGAAGTATACCTGTGCTTATACAGTAGAAAACACTATCGCTTTCCGCAACAATATGAGCATTCGTGCATCTATAATCAGAAAAGAATATAATGTAATCCTTTATAGATTGTTAATTTAAGACTTTATCAATACTAATATACATATTTCTAGCATTTTCAAGGCATAATTGGGTTCTCATATAATTCTCTGTTGAAAAGTGATTAATGATTATCATTTTAAAGGACGGAAAATATAGGCAACTTGCGAATTCAGATTAATGTACTGCGATACAGATAGCTTGTTATGTAAATATTGACAATTGACACAATTTTTTCTTAAGATAGTGTTCACCGATCCCACATCAAACATATTGTTATAGTATTGTAACTGGTTATGATCAGTTGACGATCGAAAGGGCAATCTCATGTTGAAAATAAATTTGGTATGGTACTGTGGCTCGTTATGATAATAGGTAAACGTTAAAATCAGTTTAGCAGGTGCTAAGGTTAAATCTATAATTGTGCTAGTGAATAATATCGAACCTGACCCAAATTATATATAATAAACCATTTATGGAATCAGTATACAGCCCAGATTTAATTTCAGATAACAAACACGTTATCGCTCTAGAAAAATCTAATACACAACCGTCTGGTAATAGACCAGCATGTATAGAACTTCAAGAGAAATTTATATAGGTCGATCTTACAACGAAATGGCATTATTGAGAGTAAATGGAAAGGTCTCTCATTGTTTATTGTATATATATGTTTGTATTTTATTTATATAATAAATCTAGATTATTACTCTCTTATGGGTTTCATTTTGGCTAGCTAGCCTGACCTATAATAGATCCTTTTCACACCGTGCATGTTAAGGCCCGTTTCTAACAGGTGCCGTCGTGATTACCAATAATGAACCTTTAAATTGGCTGTCGTTCGCAACGCTCAGCTCTCGCTTGGCCCGACTTCCGTTTGAAAAATGTTCAGCCGTGCTGTCAACCCTTATTATTGTCCGTCATTGCCTCTGCTTAGGTACCAGAGGCAGCGCGAGGGTTTTTTCTCTAAGCCGGCACGAACGATACTTACAGGCAGGATAAGCGGCAATCAGTATGCAATGTGATTTTGTGGGTATATGGTAATATTCAGTCATACCTTTATCAAAACTTTTATAAAAAGCTGAACAATCAGATCAAATCGCCTGATAGATGAGTTCTTGGAATGGCTGAGCTGGAAGAAGGTGTTAGTGTGCTTCTGTGTGTTTATCAGTATCTATGAGGGCATTTGGAAGCTTTTCCAAGGTCACTTCAAGGACAAGTCCAGGAAAGCAGAGCAGCCGCGTTTTACCGCCTGTCATACAGGTTTTTGGGATCGATAACTTGGAATAAGTAGTCAAATGCTTCTGTGAGTTCATATCTAGGACATGTCAAGGTCGGTTTATTGTCTAATTCACGAGAAACTAGCCACAAGGTCAATTTTATAGAGAAAAGCGCCGCGTAGCAATAATGGTCACGTGAAACCGCAAGAAACCGTGAAATCGAGTCGATGTTAAGGTTTTAGCCGGTTTTGTATCTACGCAGACATTTCAATGTCATTTCAAGGTAGTTCAATGAAAAGTTCAAAAGAAGCTGCACAATCAGGTTAAATCGCCTGGCAGATGGATTTTTTGAACCGCTAACCTCGAATTAGAGGTCAGTTTGTTCTTGTGTGCTCAGCAGTATCTATGAGGTCATTTTAAGGCTATTCCAAGGTCACTTGAAGGACAAGTCGAGGAAAGCCTGTCATACAAGTTTTTGGGATCGCTAAGTTCGGATAAGAAGTCATATGTTTCTGTGAGTTCATATCTAAGTCATCTCAAGGTCAGTTTATTGTCTAATCCACGAGAAACCAGCCAGAACGTCAATTTTATAGAGAAAAGCGCCGCGTAGCAATAATGGGCACGTGAAACCACAAGAAACCGTGAAATCGAGTCGAAGTTAGGGTTTTAGCCGAGTTTTTATCTACGCAGACAGATTTCAAGGTCATTTCAAGGAAAAGTACAAAAAGGCTGAACAATCAGAATAAATCGCCTGGCAGATGGGTTCTTGAGACCGTTAAATTTGAATAAGAGGTCAGTATGTTTCTGGGTGTTCATCAGTATCTATGAGGGACTTTCAAGGCTATTACAAGGTCACTTCAAGGACAAGACCAAGAAAGCTGGGCTGCCCCGTTCTACAGGTTTTTGGGATCGCTAAGTTTAAATAAAAGGTCAAATGCTTCTGTGATTTCATATCTTGGTCAGCTCAAGGTCAGTTTATTGTCTGATTCACCAGAAACTAGCCACAACGTCAATTTTATAGAGAAAAGCGCAGCGCGAAAACGCAAGAGACCTTGAAATCGAGTCGAAGTTTAGCCGGGTTTGTATCTACGCAGATATTTCAAGGTCATTTCAAGGTAATCCAAGGAAAAGATACAAAAAATCAAACCTCGACAATTAGAGGTCAGTTAGTTATTGTTTCTTTCATCAGTATCTATGAAGGCATTTCAAGGCTCTTCCAAGGTCACTTCAAGGACAAGTTCAGGAAAGTTGAACAGCTCCGATCTACCATCTATCATACAGGTATTTAAGACCACTAAGATCGAACAAGAAGTCAAATGTTTTTGTGAGTTCATATCTGAGGATATCTCAAGGTCTGTTCACGAGAAACCAGCCACAACGTCAATCTTATACAGAAAAGCCACGCAGATTATCAAATCATTATAATCAGATTGAAGCGCCTGTTATATAGGTTTTTGGACTCCCTAATCTCGAATAACAGGCAGTTTGTTTTTGTGCGTGCGTTACTAACTACGAGGATATTTCAAGGTTATTCCAAGGTCACGTCAAAAAAAAGCTAAGCAGCCTGTCATGTAGGTCTTTGGAGTCGCTATAAGTTCGAGCAACGTGTCGGATATTTATGTCATTTCATATCTAGGACATCTCAAGGTCACTTAATTGTCTAATTCTCAAGCATCGAGCAATAACGCCATTTTTTTTTGAGAAACGCACCAGTAGCAATGGGCAATAAGACAGCATCGTGATACAATTTGCTGTAGGTTAGCTGAGTATAATAATGGGCCAACGAAGCTGCGTGATACTGTGAGACACAGTCAAATCAAGGGCCTCATGTTGGAGGATATTTCAAAAGAACTTCAAGGTCATGTCAACGATAAGTTCAAAAAAGGTGAACTGCTACAGCCTGTCATATGTTTTCGGTAGCGTCAAGCCATTTTGTTTGTACGAGGACGTCTCAAGGTCATTTTATTGTCTAATTCGCGAGAAACGAGTAATAACGTCGATTTCATAAGTAAACGCAACCGAGTAGCAACCAGTATTGAAACAGCAATGCTAGAGCTATGCGATATAGTTTGCTTGGAATAATCTAAGCGTAATAACGGGCCAATGAAGCTGCGGGAAACCGTGAGATCCAGTCGATGCGAGGGCTTCAGCTTCGTTTATAATTGAATTATAATATTACCGACCGATGTGATTAACACCTGTAGGGGTAATAATAAATCGCTTAAGGCTTTGGAACGGACTTGTTTCGCCGCACCCGAGCTATACAGTGATTAGTCAAATAGCACAGTGAAAAAAAAGGAAATATGTTGGCTTGGATGTTTATATACCATATTTTAAATACCAAAACATTTTCAAGATAAACGCGCAATAAGCAAGATTCTTTTATTTTGAAAATGTGATAGTATGTTTTTTGGATGTTATAAGGCGTGTACATCACGAAAAACTATATCACTTATTTCCGTTGCTCTGTCTGTCGGTCTGTCCTCTAATCTTATAGCCGCCTAACTTGAAAGGTACAGCTCGGATTGTGATAAAATTTTTATATAATGTTACTACTGCCAAGGACCACAAAACTTTATGGTTTTTGAAAATCGGTCCAATAGCGAGCAATAGCAAAAAATACGTTGGGTGTTCCACAAGGTACTATTCTGGGACCACTTCTTTCTATTTCATACATAAACGATTTACCTGCCATAGTCAAAAAATACAAAACTCAAATTTGCGCCGATGACACTTTGATTTATACAGGGTGGCCGATATGTAACTGACTGGTTGGTATCTTAAATATTTGTGAAATGAAATAAAATAACTCCATTTTTTCATCTTAATCTTCTATTAAACCTTAGAAATGTCCGCCTATAGAAGCCACCCAAACCTGAGTCCTCTTAGTTTCATCTTCCAGCACTTTTTGGTAGGTTACGGAACGAATATTTTCAATCGTTTCCGTAATATCGTTCTTCAGCTGCTCTACAGTATTTGGTTTGTTCGCATCACCCATATTTTTCAAAAATCCCCATAAAAAAAGTCAGGAGCTGTTAAATTCGGTGATCTTGGTGGCCAGTTGACATCACCAAATTGAGAAATTAAACGTCCCGGAAATAATGTTCGTCTGGAACCAGATGTTTTGCAGGTTAATTTGTTGGATATTTTCCGAAATACGAACAGTTCGAACACGGCCCGACCTTGGCAAGTCTCTAACTTCCCATGTTTGTTCAAATTTCCGCAACAACTGACGAATGGTGTTGCTTGTATCAAAAAATGGCACGTAACTTAAATCAGCCAGCTATATATTGACCACCCTGTATAAGTATTCAAACTAGTATCTATTATACGTAATAAGTGAGGACTTGAAAGTTGTTTCAAAATGGATGTCATCTAACCAACTCAAATTAAATATAAGTCAAACGAAAGCTATGTTAATTGAAAAGATAAAACAATGTACAAATATTTAACCGAAAATTTTAAATGCCTTGGTGTCTTTGTTAACTCTCTAATTGAATGTTGATATTCACTCTGAGCAAATTATATTATTAAAATGGAACCAGAATTAAAGACGATTTCTATTTAATGTCCATAAAATATAATATATGCTACAAGTCTGTATTACATCGCGGGTTGATTGAATATAACAAATTTATTACCTGAATAATTTGACAAAATTCAAGGAGAATTTGAGAAATCACTTGGTTAATTTACAATGATTGCTTAAAATATTGATTCAAATCATCATGCATATTCAAAGCCCATAATTTCCATTTTGCTAAATCAAAAT